ACCTTACAAATGTAGTGAATGTGACAAATGATTTACTGAAAAATGCAATTTGAGCAGGCATCAGAGAATTCATACGGGAGAGAAACCTTACAAATGTAGTGATTGTGGCAAATGCTTTACTCAAAAAGGCAGTCTAAGACAGCATCAGAGAATTCATACAGGAGAGAAACCTTACAAAAGCCATGAATGTGACAAATAATTTACCCATATAGTTAATGTGCGAAGCCATCAGAGAATTTATACATGAGATAAACCTTACAAATATTGTGAATGCGACAAATGCATTATTCACAATGTCAGTCTGTCAAATTATCAATGATTTATGCAGTATAGAAACTTTGTGAATGAAGTAAGTGAGACAACACTCTACCAAAAAATATCATCTTAAAATTTATTAGAAGCCGGGCAATGGTGGTGCACCATCACTTGGGAGGCAGAGACAGGTGGATTTCTGAGTTCGAGGCCAGCCTGGTCTACATAGTTCTGGGACAGCCATGGCTGTACAGAGAAATTCTGTCTTGAAAAAACAACAACAAAAAATTGTTACAGAATACTTAAAGGAGGGAAAACTTTCAAATGTATTTAAAGTGTAAATAGTTTACTTTTTGCATATCTGTTACAATGAAACAGAGAATTCATACCAGTGAGAATCTTAAGAAATATAATGCATATGGTAATATCTTTGATTTCATTTCAGGTCAGAGGAAACATCTAAAATTTTTTAGTGGGGAAAGTTTTTCTGTTGGGAAAAGTGTGGCATTTTCTTGTATAAAATATGTTTTATCCAGGGTGTATAACACTTTCATGGATAGAGAAATAATAAATTCCAAAGAGAAAACAAAAAAAGAAAATATTACATTAAAAGAATCAACATTAAGTAAAAATATATTCAAAATAAAATAAAACTACTCTGAAAAGTAAAGTATGTTTTAAATATCCAGTTCTTTGAGAAAATACAGTCAAATACAAATCATTACATAGTATATGGCACTCTGGACAAGACCACTAATTTATAGTACAAAAACCATATATCTGTTTGCCTGGGCCCAGGAGTTGAAGGCAATGGGGCAAAATGAATTTTGGGAGATACAAATTTTCCCTGTTAGTTTTTGATGCTTCTCTTAGTTAGGGTTTCTATTGCTGTGATGAAACACCATGACCCCCTCCCCACAAAAACCATAGAGAGGAAAGGGTTTATATTTGCTTACATTTTGACATCACGGTCTATCACTGAAGTGAGTCAGAACAAGCCCTAAAGCCTTGCAGGAACTGCAACCAGGAGCTGATGCAGAGGTCATGGATGGGTGCATCTTTCTGAAAGCTCCAAATGGCTTACTCAGTCTGCTTTCTTACAAAATTCAGGACCACCAGCCCAGGAGTAGTAACACCCATGATGGACTGGACTGTGAACATCAATAACTAATTCTTTAAAATGCCCTATAGAGTAACCTACAGCCAAAACTTATATTTCTTATGACTTACAGTGGGTACATATTATCACATACACACTACCCCAGCAAGATTTTAATTTTTTTATATCAGAAAAAACTCAAAAATCAAAATAACTCCTTCAGAATTAAAGGACATTATAGGTGAACACACTACATAAACCTGATCATGAGGAAATATCAACAGTGACATGTGCCAGAAAACTGGCAGCTATGAATATAGATTATAAATTAGATCATATTATTTTAAAATACCCATTTCTTAAGCTTTGTCATTTAATATGATGCTAGAAAAATTGCTTGGTTTTATAAAATATCTATGGACAGCTTAATATTATTTTACCATCATCATGCTCATTATTAGACTTCTTGACAGAGTCTCACACTACAGCCCACAATGGCCACAAACACAATATTAGATTAGACTGCCTTCAAACTCATGTACCTATAAAATTATAAGTCTGAACCATTACAGCCAGCAGCTGGCCTCAATAAATATGACTGTATCTATGTGGTTTCTGTTTATCATCAAATGCATCAGATAAATCAGAGACAGACAGACAGAAAATGAGAACACATGAACTATGAAACGTTGTATAGGTTCATTGAAATAGCCTGTAACTACTCTTTTATTATTATTATTATCATTATTATTATTATATTTTAATAATCTTTTTATTGGATATTTTATTTATTTATATTTCAAATATTATCCCCTTTCCCAGTTTCTCCTGCCCCCAGAAACCCCCATCCCATCTCCCCTCCTCCTGATTCTATGAGGTTGTGCCCCCAACCACCCACCCACCACTCCTGCCTCCCTGCCTTCGCATTCCCCTACACTGGGGCATTGAATTTTCATAGAACCAAGGGCCTCTTCTTCCATAGATGCTCAACAAGGCCATCCTCTGCTACATATACGGTCCTTCCATGTGTGTTCCTTGGTTGGTGGTTTCGAACCTGGCAGCTCTGGTTGGTTGATATTGTTGTTCTTTCTATGGGGTTGCAAACTCCTTCAGCTCCTTCGGTCCTTTCTCTAACTCCTTCATTAGGGACCCTATGATCAGTTCAATGGTTGCCTGTGAGAGCATCCACCTCTGTATATGTCGGGCTCTGGCAGAGCCTCTCAGGAGACAGATATATCAGGCTCCTGTCAGCATGCACTTCTTGGCATCCATCATAGTGTCTGCATTTGGTGACATCAACTCTTTTTCAGGTTAATTTTTCTACCTGCAAAAAAATATAAAATTACAACCAACTAACAAACAATCATCAGCTGCATCCTACATCATGATTGTGATGTCAGAGCAATGGGTTATAGAAATGGCATTATCCTAGTGATGATTGAGAATGTGTGTGTTTATCTAGGTTCTGTATTTTGTTCTGTGTGTCATTCAGGAAACAGAGTGATCCTTTGAGGCTTAGAGCAAAGGGTGTCCATTCTCCAGACACAAGCTTCTCTGTTTACTAGGAAGGACAATGGCTTCTGCCCTGTTAAGCCAGATGTCAGAACATTGCTTCACTTTCGACCTCATTGCTCTGCACAGCAGGCTGATTTCTGTGAATAAATGATTAAGTAGACACAAATATTCACAGTAAATAAACAAAGATGACCACTTTCCTTTTTTACCTTTCCTTCACACTGCACACTGGATCAGGAAATTTTCCAAGTCTCTTTTCGCATATACAGCCACGGGTTCGAGCACAATCATCCTCTTGTATATGAATGGAAATTAGAAATGCACAGCTTCCTGTGTGATGTACTGAATTCATTACTGCCAAATCACTGTAAAACAAACAAAATAATGGACATTGATTTACATTTTAAGCTTATACTAATGCAGACCACTATTTTTAAATTATACTTTATTGACTAAAATATGGAAAATATCAAATTAGTAAGTGTATCACTAAAGGTTTTTAATTTTATCTAAATACATAAAAATAGTCTCGGGTCTTTGACATGGCTCAGTGGGTACAGTCTGTTCCCAACAAACCTGATAACCTGAGTTCAGATCCCAGATACTACACAGTAGAACAAGAGAAGTGGCTTCTTCAGCTTCCCTCTAACTACATATGTGCTGTGACATGTGCACACAAATGTACACGCATTCACACAAAATAAATAAATGTAAGAAATATATAAATCTGATTACAACCTAACTTCTTATCCATTCCTCACTGTTGATTTTTAATCCTCAAGTAATACACAGTTTCTGTATAACTAAGGGACGACTTTAAGGTATGTTTCCCTAAGATATTTTTACAATAATGACAATTAAAAAGAAGAAAAAAATGTGTGGCATACAGAAAAGATCTTCTGTGCCTGTGTTTTAAGAGAAAGGTATAGAGGGATTAACGTCTCAAAGGAGGGGTTGAGACTGCTGATTTGGTTGACTTCCTCTCCTATCCCCTACTCAGACCTAATGAATCTTGACTGAAACAAAGTGATTAACTGACTTCCCTGTATTCAATATTCTTCAGTCTCTGCAGGATGATACATTGATACTAAAAATTCCTTCTTGTGAAAAATAATTTAAAATGGAGATATGGAACCTAAAGGGGCCACCTCCTATAGACAATCAGGACTCCAGGTGTAGAGATAAGGACACAAAACCACACACAAAACCTTCAAACCAAACTCTGTTCTGCCTTCAAGTAGTACAGGGACAAAGGTAGAGCAGAGACTGAGGGAATTCCTGAGCAATGATTGGACCAACTTGAGACACTTCCTATGGGCAAGGATCAATCTCTGGCATAATTAATGATGCTATGCTATGCTTGCATACAGGAGCTTAACAAAACTCTCCTCTGAGAGTCTCCACCCAGCAGCTGACTAAAACAGATGGAGAGATCCAGAGCCAAACATCTAATGGATTCAGGACTTCTTGGGGAAGAGTTTGGAGGAGGATTGAGGGACCCTGAGGAGGTAGGAACTCCACAGGAAGCCTAACAGAGTCAACTAACATGGACTCTTGGGGGATCACAGAGACCTAAATACAAACCAAAGACCATACACGGGCTGGACCTAGCCCCATGCCCCCCAAGCACATATGTAGCAGATGAGCAGCTTGGTCTTAGTGACGGTCCCTCAAAAACTGGAGCACAAACTGATCCTGACTCTGTTGACTGCCAGTGGATCATGTTTCCCAAACTGTTGATATGTTGATGTATGTCTCTAACCGCAGAATTTGGATGGATGAATTAGGAAGATTATAATCAGGGCATTGTATGCTATGAAGCATAACCCTGACCTAATATTAATGAATTATGAAGAATGTATTCAATACATTCATGAGCAGGCAAGGAGTACATTTGAATACAGACTGAAGCTTTAGTAGAGCTAAGACTTCAAAAGTATCAGCAGAGCATGGCACAGAGTTTTTATCCTAATAGCCAGGAAAATATGACTAATCAATCTATGAAAATTATCATTCAAACACTAAATAATGTATGCAGACATGTGCAGTGGTGTAAAACTGTAGTCTCAGTATATGGGAGGCAGAGGCAGGAGGATCAAAATTTGTTGGGTAGGCAACACAGAGAGATTTAATCAAGCTAGCAGACTGAGAATCTATGTCAGAGAAGATGAACCAGGTAATGAAATCCACAAAACTCCACTGGGATGAAATGGCAAGGAGATGAATCTTCAAAAAGATCACCCTTTTGAGCCCTGGATTTAAGCCAAAGAGAAGTAGAGCATTTATATTTCTTATTGGAACAAAAAGAGAATATAGGAATGAGAATACACAGC